CTGCCACACCTCTGTGTTGCTGGAATAATGGCTAACATTCTAATCAGACATGCCAGATATTTGGCTAGACCGTTTATCAGTAGAGCCTATTCTTCAGGTACAGTCTATAATGATACAAACCAGTAAATTTTATACCATTTTGGTCTTTTTATTGTCATGTAGTAGCTGCAGCAGTTGAGACTGCTCCTGAAGTGTACACAATTCCACCTCCTCAACCAAAAGTTAAAAAACCAGGTCAATTGTCCCCTGAACAAGTCAAGCAATACTTTAATGATGGGTTTCTGGTTGTGCCTTCTTTCTTTACTAAGGAAGAATTGAAACCAGTAATGGATGCTATTGAAGAATGTGTGGATGTACTGGCTAGTAATCTTTACAGAGGAGGCAAGATAAAGGACAAGGCTGAGAGTGCTGGATTATACAAGAGGCTCATCTTGCTTGAAGCTCAATTCCCTGGAGCAGCAATCGTTTTAGTGAAGCAAGGATACCTGCCAGTGGCATTTAGGAACCTTTGGTCTAATGATCGTCTCCTCAATGCTATCGAGCAGTTTATTGGTCCAAACATTGCTGGTCATCCTGTATGGAATCTACGTACTAAAACACCAGTAAATGAAGAGACAACAGTACCCTGGCATCAAGACAATGCATACCTTGATGAGACATGCCTCACTACTCATCAAGCAACAGCCTGGATACCATTCATTGATGCCAATAAACTTAATGGTTGTGTTCAAGTGGTCAAAGGAGGGCATCGGGCTGGTAAGACTGCTACTCATACCTGCTGTGCTGGAGGTACTTGGTATGTTGATTTAGCTGAGGAAGAGATGGAGAAAACTCTTGGAGTTAACATGAAGACTGACGTGGTCACTTGTGAAGTACCTTTGGGTGGAGTCCTCTTTTTTAACAATTGCGTCCCTCACAGAAGCCTTGAAAACTATTCCGATAATGTACGCTGGAGCCTTGACCTTCGTTGGCAAGATCCTAATAAGTCCCCAGGGTTTTATAACCTTAAGCAACCCATCTTAATGAGAACTGCTAGTGATCCCAATTACAAGATTGAATGGGAAGAATTTGCAACGGCAGATCGTAACAAAATACAAAAGGAGTCTTTGGGGATCGATGAAAACGAGTTTGACACAACAGTACATGGTCCATGGATGAAACGATGGCCGATTACTAACCATAATAGGCATACAAAAGCACTTGCAGCTGAAGAAACTAAAAAATAGCACAGAGTAGTACCAGATACTTATTAATTACATGATAACTGGGTTTATCTTGGTTTATAATAATTAATGAATTTAATTTGCTGAAAAAAAGAAAAATAATTTTTAAGCTAATTATAATCATAGTAGCAGATACAATAGTTGTATATTATTATTGAGTGCAGCTCATTATTCATGATGCTGTATTTGCCACCTCCAGGAGCTTGCTAGTTTCATTGCTTCAGTATGTCTGTTTGGATTCGTAATCTCCCACCTCTTCATCCACGGGCCATGTATCCTTGAATCAAAAATATTGTCATCTTCCTTGAGGTCTTCCTTTTCAACTGAAGAGCGTTCAAGGTTTGCCATTCCTTCCCAATTGATGGTGTGGTTTGGATTATCTGCAGAACGAATCAGGGTACAGTTCTTAAGCCCATAAAAGCCATTAGGTTCATCAGGACGCTGCCAACGAAGGTCAAGGCTCCAGCGTACAATATTAGAGAAGTTTTCAAGACTTCTGTGAGGAATGCAGTTGTTGAGGAAGAGGACTCCACCCAAAGGTACTTCACAAGTGACCACATCAGTCTTCATGTTAACTCCAAGAGTTTTCTCTATCTCTTCCTCAGCTAAATCAACATACCAAGTACCTCCAGCACAGCAGGTATGAGTAGCAGTCTTACCAGCCCGATGCCCTCCTCTGACCATTTGCATGCAACCATTGATGGTATTAGTATCAATAAGAGGTATCCAGGCTGTTGCTTGATGAGTAGTGAGACATATGGGATCAAGGTATGCATTGTCTTGATGCCAGGGTACTGTTGTCTCTTCATTTACTGGTGTTTTAGTACGTAGATTCCATACAGGATGACCAGCAATGTTTGGACCAATAAACTGTTCAACAGCATTGAGGAGACGATCATTAGACCAAAGGTTTCTAAATGCCACTGGCAGGTATCCTTGCTTGTGTAAAAGCACAGCTGCTCCAGGGAATTGAGCTTCAAGCAAGATGAGCCTCTTGTATAATCCAGCACTCTCAGCCTTGTCCTTTATCTTGCCTCCTCTGTAAAGATTACTAGCAAGTACATCCACACATTCTTCAATAGCATCCATTACTGGTTTCAATTCTTCTTTAGTAAAGAATGAAGGCACCAGTACAAACCCATCATTAAAGTATTGCTTGACTTGTTCAGGAGACAATTGACCTGGTTTCTTATCTTTTGGTTGAGGAGGTGGAATTGTGTACACTTCAGGAGCAGTCTCAACTGCTGCAGCTACAAAAGAGTAAATTAGGCTGCAAGCACAAAGTTAAAATAATACCTGAACTGTAGCATCTGCTAATAAAAGCAGGAGCAATAGCAGGTCTTTTAGTTGCTAAAGAAAGGGAGCGAGTCAGCCTCAGTAAGGTTGCCATTGTTCTACAGCCACACCCTTTCAAAGGCGTGGCTGCATGTGGGAACATGAACAAGTGACAAGTGAAGTGATGTGATAACGGCAGTCTATCTCAACATTCACATGACCAGCTTTAGATCTAATGGCTGATAAAGAAGTTAGCAATATAAGCAGTCCAGGTAAAATCTAACTCAAATAGTAAATTCATAAAAATTTCTTTCCTGCAGTGGCTGCTGCTCCTGAAGTGTACACAACTCCACCTCCTCAACCAAAAGATAAGAAACCAGGTCAATTGTCTCCTGAACAAGTCAAGCAATACTTTAATGATGGGTTTCTGGTTGTACCTTCTTTCTTTACTAAGGAAGAATTGAAACCAGTAATGGATGCTATTGAAGAATGTGTGGATGTACTGGCTAGTAATCTTTACAGAGGAGGCAAGATAAAGGACAAGGCTGAGAGTGCTGGATTGTACAAGAGGCTCATCTTGCTTGAAGCTCAATTCCCTGGAGCAGCCGTACTTTTGCACAGGCAGCGATACCTGCCAGTCGCATTTAGAAACCTTTGGTCTAATGATCGTCTCCTCAATGTTATGGAGCAGCTTGTTGGTCCTAATGTTGCTGGTCATCCTGTATGGAATATACGTACTAAAACACCAGTAAATGAAGAGACGACAGTACCCTGGCATCAAGACAATGCATACCTTGATGAGACATGCCTCACTACACTTCAGCCCACAGCTTGGATACCACTTATTGACGCCAATATGACCAATGGTTGCATGCAAGTGGTCAAAGGAGGACATCGAGCTGGTAAGACTGCTACTCATACCTGCTGTGCTGGAGGCACTTGGTATGTTGATTTAGCTGAGGAAGAGATAGAGAAAACTCTTGGAGTCAACATGAAGACTGACGTGGTCACTTGTGAAGTACCTTTGGGTGGAGTCCTCTTCCTCAATAACACTGTCCCTCACAGAAGTCTTGAAAACTTCTCTGAAAACGTTCGTTGGAGTCTTGACCTTCGTTGGCAAGATCCTAAAAAATCTAATGGCTTTCACGGGTTGAGGGATTGTGTGCTGATGCGATCAGTAGATAGTCCTAATCACGTAATTAATTGGGAAGGATTTGGAATATTGGATCGCAAGGAGCTAGAAATAGATATTGAGGATCAAAAGGATGCATTTGACACGAGGATACACGGTCCATGGATGAAGAGATGGGAAATAACTCATTCAAACCGGCATACCGATGCTTTTCTAGCCGGTGGAGATACCTGGTACTCAAAAACAGATTGATAATTTTATTTTTCTATATTTATATAAGGACAGGACTATTGTGTGATATAGTTTGAGTGTGTGATGTAAATAGTTTGAGGTTTGAGTGACAATAATAATAAATATTTGTTTGCAAATTTTCTAAATATATCTAGCCACGCCTACCTTCAAGGGTGTGATTACTCGAAAGATTTGCTGATTGCGAGGCTGATTGCCATGGCTGCCTTCTTCAGGATTGCAAAAAGGGTTTCTCTGCTAGCAAGAGCTCCTAAAACTATCACTCCTGCTTTTATAAACAGGAGCTACAGCTTAGGTAACAGTTCTAAAAGGGTTTCAGTCATTTATTTACTCTTTTGTAGCTGCAGCAGTTGAGACTGCTCCTGAAGTGTACACAATTCCACCTCCTCAACCAAAAGAGAAGAAACCAGGTCAATTGTCTCCTGAACAAGTCAAGCAATACTTTAATGATGGATTTGTACTAGTGCCTTCATTCTTTACTAAAGAAGAAATGAAACCAGTAATGGATGCTATTGAAGAATGTGTGGATGTACTGGCTAATAATCTTTACAGAGGAGGCAAGATAAAGGACAAGGCTGAGAGTGCTGGATTATACAAGAGGCTCATCTTGCTTGAAGCTCAATTCCCTGGAGCAGCTATTATTCTGCACAAGCTAGGATACCTGCCAGTGGCATTTAGAAACCTTTGGTCTAATGATCGTCTCCTCAATGCTG